CTTTGAGAGCCCATGGACTGTAGCCTGCCAGGCTCCATGGGATTCTCCAGGCAAGAATACTAGAGTGGGTTGCCATTCCCTTCTCCAGGGGATCTTCCTGACCCAAGGATTGAACCCACATCGATTGCACTGGGAGAAAGGTTCTTTACCATCGGAGCCCAACATTCCATGTTACCTCATGCTAAAATTCCAGGACAGACAAGCCACAACAGATTCCCAGCCCACGGGTCCTGGAGTGACCGGTGAGCCTCAGCCTGGCTCCTGGGCTCTGGGGCCTGTGGGTATATGGTTGAACACCTCCAGATGGGTGCCTGGGCTCACCTGGCATCCCCCAACTCTTCTCTAGTGGCAGGACTCATCTCCTCCTGGGGTCCTGCCCTTCCCACTCTCATGTCACGTAGTCCAGGTGGGACTGAGCCCACCTTCTCACGGGTCAGGAGACAATGACTCTGGACAATGGGTATGTTTTATCTCCCTGGGCACGGTGGCTGCAAGGCTAGAAGTGCTGGTATCCACTGTGCCTGCCTCGGAGTGAAAAGGAAGACAGATCCCTGGGGCTGGGTCTGATGTTCTAGGCTGGGCCTTTTCAGTGGCCTGAGCCAAATACTCCCTCTTACTCTTAAACTGCCTAGAGGGGGGCTGTGGCTGCACTGACACCTCCTCCCACCTCATCCTTTATTCGCGCCCACCCACTGCCTCCCCAAACCTGCCCTACTCTCTCACTTTGCATTTGTCATTCCCATGCCTGCAACCCTTTCCCCCACTCATCCACCTGGCAAACTCCTACCTGTCCCCCCTTGGTTCAGATGCCACCTCTACCGGGAAGCCTGCCCTGATTCCCTCAGGCACAGCCGCTTTTCTTTTCCTGTGTCCCACCACTCCCAGCAGGTTTCTCCCAGTCACCTTTCTTCACTAGGTCCTACCTGCCTAAAAGATCTTATTGAGCTCTATTTGCTGCGGCCGTAAGATGAAATGGGGACATCCCCCAACTCCCCAGGCTCTCCAGACACAAAATGATGTTTTAGCAGTGAATATAAATGTTCAATCAATGCCTCTCATACCCCAGACATTCTGAATGACTCCCCTGGAGAGATGTCTTCCCTACCCTTGATTGAAAAGCTGCAGCAAAACATCCCTCATTGATTCAGTAAATATCTGTGAAGCCCCCTCGGTAGAAAGCACTTGTCCAGTGCTAACTGCACAGAGTGTAAGATTGTATTACAGGGAATTCTGTGGTGATCCAATGCTTAGGACTCTCTGCTTTCACTGCCAAGGGCTCGGGTTCAATGCCTGGTCAGGGAACTGAGATTCCACAAGACATGTGGTGCAGCCAAAAAAAAAAAAAGTCAGTGGTAAAATGGTATTATAATCACCTCTTCATCTGTTCAAGATAGGAAAATGCAAGGAAGGTTCCTGCCAAGCTGACCGACATTACTTTTTGGAAGCTGGCATTACAGGGACAGAAGCTGGACTTTCTCTTTGAACTTTATATACAATTTCAAAGTGACAGGACTATGAAAGGACTTTTGCCTTTCTTGCCTGCATGTGTGCTAAGTCACTTCAGTCGTGTCCAACTCTGTGGGACCCTATGGACTGTAGCCCACCAGGCTCCTCTGTCCATGGGTTTCTCCAGGCAAGAATACTGGAGTGGGTTGCCATTCCCTACTCTATGGGGTCTTGATGACCCAGGGATTGAACCCGCATCTCTTAGGTCTCCTGCATTGGCAGGCAGGTTCTTTACCACTAGTGCCACCTGGAAGCCCTTTAACTTTCTTAGAACTTCTCAAACATTTCTTGGTGGCTTGTTGGTGTGTCTGTTTCCCTACGAGACTGGGAGCCCCTTGGGGGACAAGGCTCTGTGTGAGTCATGCCTGCTTCCCGCCAGGGCTCGACACAGGGAAATATCTGTGAAGTGAGGGCGGGACGGAGCTGAGCAGGGGTGAGAAGTTAACTGGCCTCGGCATGCACAAGACACAGGCTGGGAAGAGAGTCAAGCCCGGGCCAGGCTGGCTGTGACTGCAGCGGGGCAGTGAGCACAGGAGGACATGGTGCCAACCGCGGCCTGGGCACAGGCAGCTCGGTTCCCTGCTCCTGGGCTGCCCCGGATAAACATTTGTCTGCTGGGGAAGTGAGATCACGGGGTGATGGAACTCCCAGGAAACCACCTCAGCCCAGCTTGGCACTCGCAGGGGACAGATGAAGATCAGAACTGGGGGAAGCTGGGGCAGGCAAAGTGAGAGGAGAGGGCTGGGCAGGAGGAGGCCTGGAGAATCAGGGTGCGGGCAGGACAGCGGGTGGCAGAGGGCCAGCCTGCTGCTCCTGGGGTCCGTGGAGAGTCTGGAGGCGCTGGCTGAACAGGAGCATCTGCTGCTCCTGGGGCTGATAGCCTGGCTGGGTCTGCACTAGGCTGCCCTGTCCCTCTGCCCTCCCTATAGTCTGTGTTCCTTCAACAGAGATTTTTGAGGGCCTATTTTCACACAGCCTTTGGTGATCAGAAAGCAGAAAATCAAACCAGCGAGAGAAAGAGAAGTCATGGAAGACTTCCTGGAGGCACAGGCTCCTGAGCTGGAACTTAAAGGAAGAGGAGGAGCTGACCAGATAAAGAGAGGGGTCTGACTTCCAGGTAGAAAGGAGGACAGAGATTGGAGGAGCCTAGTGAGGAGCCCTGAGCCTCAGCACTGCGCAGTGAAGAGAGGTGTGTGCTGCGAGGCAAATCACAAGGGTCTCTGGTGGCCGGGCAGGGAGGGGTGCCAGAGAGGGGCAGCAGCCCCAGATCATGTGGTTACAGCTCTGGACTCCTGGGCTGGCAATGTCCCTTGAGCTCACAGTATGACCTGAGGCAGGTGAAGTCACTTCATTCCCCCAGAGCCTCAGGCATGATGAGGGTCTGTGGGTTCAAGGCAGTCGCGTTAGCACAGTGCCTGGTACCAAGGCCATGTCCGACAGACTACATGTGGCAACAGTGGCGAGCCAGGCATTGGGAGGATCTGTTTGGGAAAGTCACTATAGAACAGTGAGGCCAGATTGCTCTGTGTTGCTGAGAAGCCAGTGGCAGGAAGCGCTAAGAAGGCAGAAAGGCGCTCTGTATTAAGGACAGCCCCAAATAAGAGTGCCGGCCAGCAGTGGAGCTGGTCCATCAGAGGCTAACTGCTGCCAAGGGAACAGCCTCATGGGTGCTGGACAGCTCCCTGGTGCAGACAGCACATGCTGCCGGGGGATTCCTTGGGAAGGGGCGGGGAGAGAGGAGGATCCCAGGAAGAGTCACTGTGAGAAACTCAGGGCTGTGGGCAGTTACACAGGGTCCCTTGCTCTAAGGTTTCCTAAGGCCCTTGGCTGTCTTACAACACGGGTCACAGACTCGAATGCTATATGGAAACAAGGTGAACAGCATAGGTGGGGGACACGGCAGGTGCGGAAGGAAGGGTGCACCAGAGAGTGGCCTGTCAAAAGAGGAGGCCTGCCCGGCTGCTACTCAGCGCCTGTCAGCCATCCTTACGGGAAGTCTGCGGGCCACTGCCAACAGTTGAACTGGCCACTGCCCCCGCTGGATTGTGCTCCCTAAAAAGATATGGTGGGAATTCTAACCCCTGGTGCCTATAACTATGACCTGGTTTGAAAATGAGGTCTTGGCAGATATGACCAAGTTAAAATGAGGTTATTAGGGTGGGCCCTAATTCAATGACTGCTGTCCTTTTACAAGGAGGGGAAACATGGACACAGAGACTGAAACGCACAGAGATGGCCACGCGATGACGGGGGCAGAGATTGGAGTCATCCATCTATGAGAAAGTCAGCCATTTCCCGCACCACCAGAAGCTGGAAGAAGCAAAGAGGGATTCCCCGTAGCGCCTTCACAGGGAGCCCAGCTCTGCTGACACCTTGATTTTGGACTTCTGGTCTGACATGACGCATTTGGGTTGTTTTAAGCCACCCCATTTGTGATACTTTGTTGTGCCAGGCCTAGACGCTAATATGGCCCCTCATGCATGATTCCACGTAGACTGGAAGTCTGTAGAATTGGGAGAGAGAACACGGCATTTCCTGACCCATACGTCACAGACCTCTTTCTGAAAGAGGGTCTCACTGGATGAGCCAGGGGACATGATGTGGGGACACTGATTCTAAGTCTCAGCCTTTCATTCGTGGCCCACACACAGGTCCTGCTCACTGAGGTGACCCCCGGTTTCCTCTGCTGTAAACTGAGGATGACGTGTCAGCCTCCCAGGTGGCTGGGCCCCCTCAGCGAGGTGCACAGAAATTGGGGAGTCAGGCACTCCCATCATGTGGAGGGTGTCCTCCCTCCAAGCCTCGCTCTACACCCCAATGATGGGTGGCAGCGTGTCCCAAAGCTTCCTAGGGTTGCTAGGGGACTGCCGGGCCGGTGGCTGGGGTCAGAATGGTAAATGGTACCCGGGGGACCAGCCAGCCTCCTGCACAGTCTCGGGTCCTCGGCCGGGGGAGGGTGCTCCCCTGGGGGCCGCCCTTACCTGTGCTGTGAGTTGGATGGGCTGGGACAGGGTGAGCTGTGGGGTTCCCGGGGGCTGGCTGGCAGACTGTGGTGGTGGCAGGTCGCCTCCCCCGGAGGAGGAGGAGGCTGGGGGCTGCGAGGTCGAGGAGGAGGAGGAGGAGGAAGAGGAGGAGGAGGTGGAGGCGGCGGCGGCGGCGGCGCTGGACTGCTGCACGGCGGCGGCCAGGAGCTGGGCCTGCGCTTGCTGCAGGAGGAGCTGCTGCTGAGCCGGCATCAGGGCCGTGAGCTGCGGGGGGGAGGGGGGGGCGGGGCAGGAGGAGGAGCGTGGGAGGAGCAGAGAAGGCAGAGAGGGGTTAGTTGGCGCCTTGAGCCAAGCGGGTTACCAGGCAGAAGAGGCAGGCGTGGACAGAGTGACTGTGGGACTGGCGGGATACCCCAGGCCACCGTGGGTCCTGTAACAGATGGGAAGCGGCTGGCCTGTTTCCCCTCACCCCCCACATCGTCCTCCGTCCCTGTGCGCCCCGGTACTTACTCCAGCTAGCTGGCTGCCAGTCAACATGAGTTGGGCCTGGGGCAAGTGTGGCTGAGCTGGCTGCGGAGGCGGGGGTGCTGCTGGGGCTGAGTCGCCGCTGGGGTCTTCAGCCTTGATCTGGGGGGGAGAGAGGCAGGGTCCGGGACCCCAGAATGTTAAGTGGAGGCCAGAGAGAATGCCCACCTGCGAACCAAAAAGAGGGCACGTGTGTGGCAACGCCAGCCCGGCGCTCGCACGGAGAGGAGCAGACTGGGGGGCGGGGGCGAGGTCTGCAGGGGCCTGCTAACCGCTCAGTTTAGCCTGTTTCCACATCGGTCAGAAAGGTTAACACACCTTCTGCACCCAAATTCCCAACAGGAGGGGGTCACCTTCGGAGAGTACTTTTACCCTCTTGGGGGTCAGTTCCCTATGTGTCAAATGGGAAATGATGCCTGGGGGACACAAGGGTTCTGGGTACCATATCCCTCATCTGCTTTAGCGCAAAGTACATCTCTTGTCTGTCCAGTGGAACAGACTTTGTTGGAAGAAAGGGTCTTAAGGTATTAAAGAAAAATCACCGCCTTAGAATATGGGTCACCAAGTAAAGCCTAAGGAAACAGGCAGATGATGCAAAGTGGGTGATTTGGGCAGGTGTGGACAGAGTGGGCTGGAAAGAGCAAGCCCGCCTGCCTGAGGGGGCCTAACCAGCCCACTCTGCTCCTACCAGTAAAATCCTAAGAAACGGCAGGGTCAGCAAAGGGTGTTTGCCGGTCAGATGTGGTTCAGGTCTGCCAGCTGTCAGCCTCCACCCCAGAGTCCGCTGAGCCCCTCCTCATCTCTCTATGGAGTATACAGATGCATCTGCATCCACCACGTGTGACAGACCAGCTTACAGTGGTCTCTAGGTCCCTGCCTTCTTCCCCTCCCACACAAAAAGCCAGACAATGGTGGGCTGGCCTGAGAAGTCTGTTGGTAAAAGACACATGGGGTGGGGGTGTGTGGCTTGATGGGTCTCACTCTCGGGCCCAGAGGGGAATATTAGGTATCATCCTTCAGCCCAATGTCCCAATAACGTCTTGCAAAAGGAGGTCCATAGAGGGAAAGCGACCTGTGCAAGGCAACACAGTGACTTGGCAGGAGCGTGCATGGCGTTTGCGACACAGACTGAGGTTGACAGACAGAGGCCGGGGAAAGGCCAAGTAACAGAGAGTGAGTGCCATGCCCCGGGGGTGGGATCCAAGTGTCAGAGAGTCTAAGGGGAATGCGGATGCAGTGTGAAACAGTGGAACTAGAAGCCAGGGCCATGGCTGCCCTCCTGGGGAAATTAAGGGACTTCTGGAAGTCTGGTCATCTTCTGTTTTTCGATCTGATGCTGACGACACAGGTGTTCAGTTTGTGAAAATCCAGAGTTGTATGCCAAGGATGTTGTATGCCAATATGTCAATATGTCATATTTTAATGAAAGGTTTTTTAAAAACTAGGCTTCTCGGGGCTGTTTCCTTCTCTCTCGGTCTTCTAAGAAAAGTTTTCATTAGGTGCAAGGATGTCTCTAATACCTTCCAACCCTGGCTCACCTTCCTTTCTAACAAATAAAGAACTGGTCTCAGGTTTAGACCTTACACCAGGCAAGAGTCTCTGGGTAATTTTAATAATCATTGTCTTTATTTCCATGGCAAGTGATTCTGGTTTTCCATTCATGAAATTTCCATTTAAAAAAAAGTTTTATTTTAGCTGTTGAGAAAGCAAGCCAGTTCATGAGTTGATCATTGTTGAAGCCAAGTGACAGGTTACCTGGAGGTTTGTTTTCGTTATGGTCTTCCTTCTACTTTTGTATCTGTTTCACATTTTCCATAATAAAAATTTTTTTAATTGAACCGATTTAACAAAATTGTGATGTAAATAATTATACAGGGTGGAGAGTGCATCTGTCTGACATCCTGAGGGAAAGACTGACACATAATGGATGCGGTGGGATGGAGCAGCAAGCGCAGGGAGTGCAGACCAGATGTGGTGGAGACCTGGTGCGGAAGGGAGCGAGGACCTTTGCTCCCCTGGCCCCCACTGGTCTCCTAGGGGTGAAGCAGGGCTGCTGTGGGGCATTCAGATGAGGGTGGGGCAGGGCTGGGGGCGGGGAGGGGGGTGATGGATGTTCTTGGCTCTGAGGGCAGAGGCCAGAGCCCAGCTTGAGATCAGAGTGAAGCTGGTCAGAGTCAGGGGCCTTCTCCCTGGGTCATGTCTGCGCACTCTGAACCGGACACCTGTCAAGAGGTCCCCCAATCTGCCCGCCCCCACTGCCGGGTTAGAGGAGACTAAGGAGCCCAGAGTGGGAGGGTGACTTTCCCACAGTCTCAAAGCACCTCCGGGCCCCCCACCCCGTCCTCCGACCACCACTGGTCAGGGTCAGGAGTCCCACCCGGGCCCCCTCTGCCCCTGCACCATCTTCAGGCCTCTGGATCGGCCGGCCACCACCACCAGACTTGAAGGGTGGAGACCCGGGCACCAGACACCCCCTGAAGCCCAGCTGTGCCCAGCAGCAGGGCCCATCTGGATGTGGAGTTTGCTCCATCTGGCCACTTCCGGCCTCCCTGCTGTCCCCCCCTGCAGCACCGTGGCTGGATCCGCCTACCTGCCCCCCACTCCCGGACTGGCCCAGAGTGTGTACCTTGGGGGGTGGGGGTGGGGCGGGCCCCTGCTCGGTCAGGGAAGTTGGGATGGGGGCGGGGCCCTCAGCTTCCTGTTGTTCATCGCCCTGGGGCTCTGGGGGGGATTTCCCTGGCCACCCCCACCCCCCCAGGGAAGGGGAAGGAGCCCTGGTGAGTCACAGGCCTGGGGCGGGAGCCTGAGGGTGAGAAGGGGCGGGAGGAGTCCCGTCACCAAGGTGCCAGGCCCCCGGCCCACAGCAGGCATCCGGGACCCTCTACCAAATGTCATACCTGAGCGGTCACCCTGGCTGCTCTGACCGGGGCTTACCTTGGTGCTGGGGCCAGTCGGGGACACGGAGAACGGGGAGGTCTTATTCTGGGGGTTCTGCAAAGAGCAAGTGGGGGTGGGCAATGGGAACAGTGAGATGAAGCAACTTCTGACACCCTGCCCCTGCCCCACAGAGCTCTGCTCTGCTCCCTTCTGCCCCTCTCCCCGCTACCCATTTGCTGCCTTCTGACCTGATGGTTAGTGTCTGGTCCATTTCTTTCAGTGTCTGTAATGAGAGGGACGACGGGTGAGTTGTCACCAGCCCCTGACCCTAAAACCCCCACCGCGCCCCTGCTTCCGCCCGTGGTAACCTCTGCCCTCCCTGCCCCGTTCCCCACTTACCTGCGTGCTCTGACGGGGAGTCCAGACCTTGCTTCTCGGCCTCCAGGGGCTTAGACATTCTTATTTCTGAGGACAGATGAGGGATGCCAGTGGGGTAAGGGTGCGGAAGCCAGTAGGGCTCTGGGGCCGCTCCCCCAGCACCACCCAGCCTCTCCCCCCATACCCTAACGCTCCCTGCAACCTTGCAAGTGTCTCTTTCTGGGAGACATGCCCTCTGCTCTAGGCCCCTGCCCTCCACCAGTAGGACAGGAGAGGAGCCTCTTGGCCCCTCTGAAAGGTGGCACAGGGAGGGTCACCTCCAACCCCCCGAGAGACCTGGGGCAGGGTGGAAGGTGGGGTTGGCCCTTGGTCCTGGGGAGGCTCTGGCCGCCCCGGGGTTGGGGGAGGCTGGTGATGCTCCGAAGGAGCGACTCAGCGTTGGGCCTCCTCGCAGCGGCCGCCCAGGCGCCCATCCTGCCCCACCAGGTTTCGGTGAGGCATGTTTTCCACTCTGAGTAGGGCCTGGGAGGTGTGAGGGACGGCAGCATCCCCCGGGAGCGAGTCCTCAGATCTCCGGTGTGATTCAGCGCCCCAGGCCCCCTCCCCGGCCCACCACTTTCCCGTCCACTCCCCCCTCCGCCTCCCTTTCAGGCTGGGCGGCCCCTCTCTCATCTCTGTGACTCCAACTCCAACCCCATCTGCTTCTGCCCTGACCTCGTCCTCAGACCTAACCCTAGACTGCAGCCTTACCTGGGACTGCAGCCCTTAATCCAACCTGGAGCCCCCACCCTACCAAACCCATCCCACCCTACAGTCCCGCAGGCCCAGGAAATGGAAGGAGGTGGCAAACAGGGGACCCGGAGCAAGGGAAACAACCCCATGCTCTCAATGCTCCGATTCTGGTCACGGGACGGTGAGTGCTGCCAGCACAGCGAAAGATATGACTCAGAGCTCACGTTGGCAGCTGGTGCCAGTATTACCCCCATTTTACCGGGGAGAAAACTGAGGTTCCAGGCAGACGGCAGCTCCCCAAGAGCCCCGTGAGACAGCAGAGGCACTCTGGTCAGACCGGGGTCCTCGTGACTCTGGGGCTCCCACTTCTAATCAGTGTCGTTACAGTCTGATGAACCCGTTCTGATCCCCTCCACCTCATCTCCACAGTGACTCCAACCCAGGATCACCCTGAGAGCCATTCAAACCCAGCCCTCCCTGGTCCTAGACTCCTAGTCTGGGTTTCTGACTGACCCATTCTCAATTTTCTTACCCACACTGATCCCCAGCTCTCGTCCAGATGGCCCAAGTTCTTCATCTGACCTGGACTCCCTGCTTGGCCTCATACCTTACTCCCGACCCTGACTCTGACCCTAACATCTCACAACTAACTCCAAATCCCCACCAAGACCCCATTCTATCAAAGGAGCCATCCAACGCTAGCGTGCTCTGCGTCCAAGATAGTTAAAGGTGGCCAGCTAGAAAAGAGAGACCTGAAAGAGCCTCTGCAACTGAAAAAGAAGTCCAGATATTTTGCAACTGAGGGTCACTAGACAAGGAATGCCACTCTGATTTGAAATTCCTGATTTAAAAACCAGCTCAGGGCTTCCCTTGTGGCTCAGTGGTAAAGAATCCGCCTGCCAGTGCAGGGGATGCGGGTTTGATCCGTGATCCAGGAAGATCCCACACACCTCGGAGCAACTAAGCCCAGGCACCACAGCTACTGACGCCTGGGCTCTCGAGCCTGTGCTCCGCAACCAGAGAAGCCACCGCAATGAGAAGCTTGTGCGCTACAACTAGAGAGCAGCCCGCGCAGCAACGAAGGCCAGGCGCCGACAAAGGGAAAAAAAAGGGGAAAAGCCAGGGCACACACTGCTGACGTGGGTGTAAATCCATCCAAGCACAATTCAGGAAACTTAGAGAGGTGCCGCTTCCCAGCACATCCTCTGCCAGCATTCACCTAAGAGGAAGGAGTGTCCTGCCCACCACCGCCCCGGGCACATGTGTTCCGGGCAGCAGCCCTTTCCTAACGGCTCCCCCGTCCCCAACTGGAAACAGCTCAAGGGCCCGTTAACCGGGGACAAGTAAACACATTGGTACGTCCGTACAGCGAAATACCCCGCAGCCTAGAAAAGAACCAGCTCCTGCATCACACACACTGAATCTTGCAAACCTGCTGCCAAGGGAAAGACGTGAGACACAGAAGTGGACAGACAGCAGGACTCCAATTAAGGGAGATTCAGAAACAGGAACGATGACCTCAAGTGATTAAGGTCAGATTAGTGGGCATCTTTTGAGGGGTGCTGACCTGAAAAGGGTGTGAAGAAGCCTTCAGAGGGTTAGAAATGTCCTGGGAGGTGATCTGTTTGGTGGTTTGGGGTGGTGGTCTGTACATACGCAAAAATTCATCAAACTGTACACTTAAAACCTGAGCGTTTTACTATATGTTATGTTTTGACACACAAAAAAGAAATAAAACAAGCTAATAATAATAAGCCAGCACATAGTCCTACTAAGCTGTAAGCTTACGAGGTTGGGGTGGGGAGCAGGTGCCCAGATGCTCCCGGAGTTCAGGCCCTGTTTCCGGGCACTGGGGAAGGGGCAATGAGTGGTTAAGGACCCCGAGACCCAGGAGGTCACAAAGGGAGCCAAGGAAGGAGTCCCCCAGCCTCCTGACTCTGGGGCATCAAGAAGCAGGAGTCCTGCCTGATCCTGGCTCTAAAACTCCCAGACTCAGCTTCTTTGGTCGCTCAGTGGCAAAGAATCCACCTGCCAAAAATCCTGTCACCTGTAGGAGACACAAGTTCAATCCCTGGTCCAGGAAGATTCCACATGCCGAGGGGCAGCTGAGTTCGTGTGCCACGACAACTGAGCCTGAGCTCTAGATCCTGGGAGCCCTAACTACCGAGGCCTGAGTCCCCTAGAGCCTGCGCTCCACCACAAGGGAGGCCACTGAAATGAGAAGCCTGCACACGGCACCTGGAGAGTGGCCCCTGCTCACCGAAACTAGAGACAAGCCTGTGCAGTGACGAAGACCCAGCACAGCCAGATAAAGAATAAATAACATTTTAAAGCCAAATAAACAAATCTCCTAGCCCTTGGCCCTGCTGCAGGCAACCACAAACCCTAGAGTGGCCCTACATCCCTGCCAGCATTCTGGAAAGCCGTGCCCCGGCCGCCTCCGCAGCCCCTCCTTCCAGCCAGTGACCACGCTGCCATCAGGAGCCCCTTCCCCGGCCGTGACCCCTTCCACGGTTCCCCACCTCCTAAGAAAAGCCCAGGCTCCCCATCCTGGCCATCAGGGTGTGACCCTCGTCACCCTCCGCTACCCATCTCTCAGCACTCATGCACCTTTCTCTTCAGTCATGCTGGCATCGCCCTCTGCTTGACGAGGGGCGGGGGGCAGGGGTCCAGGCCCTACAGTCCCCACCTCGCCGGTGAACGCCCCTCCTGATCACAGGCCGGGGCGGCCTCGGGCCCCACCTCCACCCCAGAGGGCCCGCACTCATCCTCGGCCTCTGCTGTGTGCTGAGCTGTAGCCCTTGACATTCCTCTCTTGGATGCCTAACCCCCAGTAACTCAGACTGTGACCGTCTTTGGAGACAGGATTTTTATAGAGGTAACGAAGTCAAAATGAGATCAGGCCCTACGTACAGATCAGGGCCTCAGACTAGGCCCTGATCCAGTATGACTGGTGTCCCCAGTAAGACGACGAGACTGGGATGTGGACAGGCACAGAGGGAAGACCAGGTGAGGACCTGGGGAGCCGACGTCCACCCCAAGCCAAGGAGGGAGGCCTTGGAAGAAACTAGCCCCGCTGACACCTTGACCTTGGACTTCCAGCCTCCAGAATTTTGAGAAAAATAATTTCTATCGTGTAAGCCATCCCATCTGGGGGTACTTTGCTATGGCAACCCTAGCCAACTAAGGCAGACTCTCCTCACCAATCCAGCCTGGAGCCCTCAGGGCTGTGGTCACCTGTGCCCTTGTCCTTCCCCACTGATCAGCGGACAGGCCTGGGCTGACTCACTGCTGGGTCCCCAGCATCACCCAGCTTGGCAGCCCAGGTTATGAATGTCTGTCCCTCCCTGCGGCTCCCTCCGTCTCTTACTTGTTCCTGCCTCTGTCCTGCTGTCTCTCTGTCAGCCTTGGCATGGGCTGGTCCCTCGGTCTGGAACGCTGTTCCCACTCTGTCTGCCTGGCGACCTCCTGCTCATCCTTCAGGACCCAGCACAGGCTCCGTCCTCCTTGAAGTCACCACCCTGATGACTTCAGGCGGGGGGTCTCTGCCCTGTTCCTTCCACCCTGGCTCCACCTCCCCGTCACCGTCCTAAAGGCTGCAGTCAGCTGGGCCCCAGCATGTCTCCCCCATCAGGCTAGGAAGCCCTGGGGCAGGGCTGACTCATCTGGGGTCCTCAACAGGACGCGTGGGTGGGATGAACAAGGGCAGCCCTGCTCTCTCTCCTCCGGGCCTTTGCCTCTGCTCCCCTCCCACCTGGGACAACCCTTTCCTTCTTGACTAGCAAACTCCTGCTCCTCTTTAAGGCCCCAGCTCCACGTCACCTCCTCTGTGAGGGCCTCCTGGACTGCCCAGGTGGTCAGTGCCTCTCTCGTCTGGGCTCCCCCTACCCCCAACACACCCTGACCACCTGGCCTGGGCAGTGACCTCTACCCTAGACGGTGGGCTCCTCAGGGCCCAGACTGGAGTCACCACTGCACAGTCTGGGACTCTGTCTTTGGAATGAACGAACGCAGGAAAGGATCCTCTCTCTGTGGTCACCTGATCTTCGACCCTCAGCCCCAGTCCCCCAGGGGCTCCCACCTGACCTTAAACCTTTAGGGTCACCTCCCCTCTGTAGGAATGGTGGCTGCAGAGGCAAACGTGGTTTGAGGGGAACTTTCTACCACTGTTTCCCCAATCCTGCCCCCGCCCCCAGCTCCCACACAGCCCACACACCCCTGCAGCATCAACTGGGCTGACAGCAAGATGGCCAGAGCTGCCCGTTGCCCAGGCCTCTGTCCTCCCCTCTCCTCTTCCTTCCTCGAGCCCAACCCAGGAGGAGGGTCTCATCAAACCATCCCCACCAGGGATGAAC